GGACCAGTTTGTAGCAAACAACTTCACCTCTAGTTTACCATTGTTGTCTATAGGGAAGGGAACTATCAGGAGAAGCGCCAAGCCATTACGACTATATAGCACTTGGAAGGGGTCAGGATAAGGATTTGGGATGGGACGCGGGGGAAGGAATGGTGCCTAACCACTTGGACGGTCGGGGATTGAACGCCGACCTGCATAAAACGAGACCGTCGCTCTACCGTCTAGCCCAAGTGATTGTGTTTATTGTTGTGTATAGTGGTTCTGTACATGTTAGCAGTTGGTGTGCGTCTCTTCACTTGTTGTTTACCAACTGGTGTTTGGAAGGGTTCCATCCGGGTGCCACAGTCTCAACTTCTGGACTCATGTGGGTTGTGTTCACGGTCCTGAGTGCCGAGGTTTTAAAAGTCTGTTTTTAAACTAGCTGGGAGGTAATGCGGAGGTTGGTCTTGGTGCCCTTGTGACGATGGGCTTGATGTGACATCTTCCCAGAGATTGTTTATTCTTCAGAACCTCTGAGCGCTAGCTTCTGGGCTCGGCCTCTTCAACTGTGGCTTGTGTCAATTAATATCGTAACTCCCAATCTCATTATTTCTCTAAATATCTGGATATAAAAGTTTTTACAGGGTTTTTACAAGGTAAGTTAAAACCAGGGTTTTACACAACTGAATGTGTAAAATGAAGTAAGGGCGAAGAGGGAGAACGGCCTATTGACGTAGCTCGAGTGCACGGGGGAGTTGTGTAAAACCCTGGTTTGTGTCTCGGAGAGGCTGCAGGATCCAGTAAGTTAAGTAGAACTTCGGTTTCAACTCTTTTTGACCATGTCGTAGCTCAGCTGATAAAGACAGCGTCTGGGATCCTCTCGGACGTAGGTTCGAACCCTCGTCACGGCCCTTGTGGATTTGTTCATATGATGCATCACGCTATTGTGATTTCTGTGTGTAACTAAATGTTGACTGTAACACTACATGGTGACTGTAACACTACATGGTGACTGTAACACTACATGGTGACTGTAACACTACATGGTGACTGTAACACTACATGGTGACTGTAACACTACATGGTGACTGTAACACTACATGGTGACTGTAACACTACTTGGTGACTGTAACACTACATGGTGACTGTAACACTACATGGTGACTGTAACACTACATGGTGACTGTAACACTACATGGTGACTGTAACACTACATGGTGACTGTAACACTACATGGTGACTGTAACACTACATGGTGACTGTAACACTACATGGTGACTGTAACACTACATGGTGACTGTAACACTACATGGTGACTGTAACAACACTACATGATTCTTACCCGCCTTTCTTTCTAAGAATCGCCATCGATTTAATTCTTGTAATCTCCTTGTTGTTGTGGGAGAAAATAAACTAAAGATTAAAGGACAGCTGTAGTGGATGGTGTGTGCGTGCGTGCGTGCGCGCCACCCACTACAGTCACACCCTCATCTCATTGTCTTCCTTCTTATCTTTCCTCTGCTCTTTATCACTTTATCCTTTCTCTCTTCGTATCCATCATGTGTTTCCCGTCTTTCCTTTCCCTCCAGTTACAGCCCCGCTCGTGTGCCGGGTAAGCCCACTACGGGCTCGCCATAGTCCGTGCTACTGGGAACTTTTATTCAGAGTAGTTGAATCTTAACAACAACAACAACAACGCGCAGGCGATGAGTCACAATAACGTGGCTAAAGTTGACTCTTTTTTTTCTGTTCATTGTCTTCTACGTTCCCTTGCTATCCTCTGCTTATTCCTATTACTATCTCCTTCTCATCTGGTGGTTAATAGGAGCTGCCTCGCATGGGCCAGTAGGCCCTCTGCAAGTTCGTTTTCCTACTATCCCCTCTACTACACCTTTGCTCCTCTCAACAATCAAATCGTGTTTCTTTCACCTTCTAGTATGTGGTCTGGTCAACAACAACATCCTTCCGCTCGTCAAGTTTTAAGAGCAGTCAGCTTTAGACTGTTGTACACAATAAACCCGTCCTCCTCCTGCTGCTCCCACCATCATGCCGAGGGGGGAAGGTGCCACTTGCCTCAGTTACACCACCACCACTTTCCTGTTCCCCAGGTCGTGTACCACTCACATCCTCTACCACCCGGCTGGCTCCCACCACCACTCACTTTGGGCGCTGTAATTTTGAAATGTAGAAAAAAAACACTAGTGTGTCAGTCAGACTGTTATTTGCCCTCCCACACACTGGGTAACTCTCCCACGGGCTGGAGGAGGCTCCTACCCCACACACACACTGGGTAACTCTCCCACGGGCTGGAGGAGGCTCCTACCCCACACACACACTGGGTAACTCTCCCACGGGCTGGAGGAGGCTCCTACCCCACACACACACTGGGTAACTCTCCCACGGGCTGGAGGAGGCTCCTACCCCACACACACACACTGGGTAACTCTCCCGCGGGCTGGAGGAGGCTCCTACCCCACACACACTGGGTAACTCTCCCACGGGCTGGAGGAGGCTCCTACCACACACACACTGGGTAACTCTCCCGCGGGCTGGAGGAGGCTCCTACCCCACACACACACACTGGGTAACTCTCCCGCGGGCTGGAGGAGGCTCCTACCCCACACACACTGGGTAACTCTCCCACGGGCTGGAGGAGGCTCCTACCCCACACACACACACTGGGTAACTCTCCCACGGGCTGGAGGAGGCTCCTACCACACACACACTGGGTAACTCTCCCGCGGGCTGGAGGAGGCTCCTACCCCACACACACACTGGGTAACTCTCCCACGGGCTGGAGGAGGCTCCTACCCCACACACACACTGGGGAACTCTCCCGCGGGCTGGAGGAGGCTCCTACCCCACACACACACTGGGTAACTCTCCCACGGGCTGGAGGAGGCTCCTACCACACACACACACTGGGTAACTCTCCCGCGGGCTGGAGGAGGCTCCTACCCCACACACACACTGGGTAACTCTCCCGCGGGCTGGAGGAGGCTCCTACCCCACACACACACTGGGTAACTCTCCCACGGGCTGGAGGAGGCTCCTACCACACACACACACTGGGTAACTCTCCCGCGGGCTGGAGGAGGCTCCTACCCCACACACACACTGGGTAACTCTCCCGCGGGCTGGAGGAGGCTCCTACCCCACACACACACTGGGTAACTCTCCCACGGGCTGGAGGAGGCTCCTACCACACACACACTGGGTAACTCTCCCACGGGCTGGAGGAGGCTCCTACCACACACACACTGGGTAACTCTCCCGCGGGCTGGAGGAGGCTCCTACCCCACACACACACGGCGCATAATGACGGAACAAAATCAATGACCGGGCTCCCATTTATAACCGAACCCTCGTTAATGTGCACCATGAGAGAATATTATATCCTGTCCTTGCTTCCTTTAACCAGCGTAGTGTCCAAACCATCAACTAGCCCAGTATGGAGACGGGCAGGTAAACACTCGCTGAACCAGTTGACGGGGGAGAAGCAGGCCGTCCTCCTAACGTTTCCCAACGTCAAGAAAACGGCCAAATTAAAGTGTCGTCTCCTAACCTACCAGAGGACCTAAAACAGAAAACGGGACAGTACATCACTTTTGCCAGCTGCTTCCCTATTCTAGGATAACCATTTTTGACGTTATGTAACGCATACGATCGAAATGCGACGTTCTTTGTAAGAGGACAGGAAGGGAGAAGAGACCGTCGTGGGAAGGAGCCTGGGTAGCCAATTTAGAGGGTCACGGTCCTCAATTAAGATGCAGTTTAGGATGTCACAACCGGTTCTTGCCGGGAAGACCGTGACCACTGTACACGTGTACATCATGAGACATGTGGCAACACCACCATTATGAGTGCAGTGTACACCATGAGACATGAGGCAACACAACCATTATGAGTGCAGTGTACACCATGAGACATGAGGCAACACAACCATTATGAGTGCACTGTACACGTGTACACTATGAGACATGTGGCAACACCACCATTATGAGTGCACTGTACACGTGTACACCATGAGACATGAGGCAACACAACCATTATGAGTGCACTGTACACGTGTACACCATGAGACATGTGGCAACACCACCATTATGAGTGCACTGTACACGTGTACACCATGAGACATGTGGCAACACCACCATTATGAGTGCACTGTACACGTGTACACCATGAGACATGAGGCAACACCACCATTATGAGTGCACTGTACACGTGTACACCATGAGACATGTGGCAACACCACCATTATGAGTGCACTGTACACGTGTACACCATGAGACATGTGGCAACACCACCATTATGAGTGCACTGTACACGTGTACACCATGAGACATGTGGCAACACCACCATTATGAGTGCACTGTACACGTGTACACCATGAGACATGTGGCAACACCACCATTATGAGTGCACTGTACACGTGTACACCATGAGACATGTGGCAACACCACCATTATGAGTGCACTGTACACGTGTACACTATGAGACATGTGGCAACACCACCATTATGAGTGCACTGTACACGTGTACACCATGAGACATGTGGCAACACAACCATTATGAGTGCACTGTACACGTGTACACCATGAGACATGTGGCAACACCACCATTATGAGTGCACTGTGCACGTGTACACTATGAGACATGTGGCAACACCACCATTATGAGTGCACTGTACACGTGTACACCATGAGACATGTGGCAACACCACCATTATGAGTGCGCTGTACACGTGTACACTATGAGACATGTGGCAACACCACCATTATGAGTGCACTGTACACGTGTACACTATGAGACATGTGGCAACACCACCATTATGAGTGCACTGTACACGTGTATACCATGAGACATGTGGCAACACAACCATTATGAGTGCAGTGTACAGAGCGGCACGAGGGTGTGGGGAGGATGGGTGGGCGGAGGTGGAGCAGATACAGAGTACCATCTCATCCTGTACAGGAGATATTGACTCTGGACTGCCACAAAATGAGTTGTGTTGACACACGAGAGCTGTGGCCAGGCGAGTGGAGCTCAGGTGTAGTTAATGTGTGTTACTGCTGCATGTACAAGCAGTTGTGTTGTACACGCCGTCCTCTCGACTAACACGTCACATTTTGTACGTTACGGTCCCCAATGTACGAAATACAAGGTACTGGGAAAAGCAACAGCGTTTTTCTACGCATCGGTAAGTTAGGTTAGGTTGCTTGTGTGAGTGTTTCTGGTTAAGTTAGCACTTTATATTTTGTACGTTGTGGCAAATCAAGAGAACATGCTGCTTACAATGGTACGATACTATGAGATAATATTATCGGGGAGAGGAAGCCTGTTATGCAGACGATGACCACAGTAACATAGTTATCGTGAATAACCGACGTGTTCATGTACGTGTCACCTCTTGGGTGGCTTAATCCTTATCAATCAAATCAATTTCATATAAGTGTCCAACCCACGCTTGAAACAATCAAGGAACCCCACCTTCACCACTTTACACGGCAATTTGTTCCACAAATCAACAACCCTGCTCACTACAACTCTAATTTACTTACTACAATATTATTGCTGAATGTAGAAGATTAAAAAAGATATTTTTACTCTGAAATAATATAATTTTATAGCGAAATTGGGTCCCATCTAATTACCCAAATCAACATTGTCGCTTAGATCGTCTACTTTCTATGGCGTCACCTGCCACTTAGTTTCGTCTAATTTTGTTATCAAATTATATTATTTCAGTGCTTTGGGTAGCCTAGGGTAATTAGACGGAGCGGTGTTCACACAAGAATGATTGGATGACATTCCATCATCCACACAAATGTATGAATGAGGTGGAGAATGGATTAAGGTATATACCCATAACGTGCGACACAATCAGGAAGAGCATTGACAAACTTAAGACTCAAAAGCCCCAGGTGTGGATGGAATTGAACCAAAGTTATAATGTAACTGGAAGATGAACTATGCCTACCACTAAAATTTCTTTTCAGAAAATCTCTGGACCTAGGGATACTTCCCCTAGATTGAAAGTATGCAAATGTTACCCCTGTGCAGGCTATGAGTCACAATAACGTGGCTAAAGTATGTTGACCAGACCACACACTAGAAGGTGAAGGGACGACGACGTTTCGGTCCGTCCTGGACCATTCTCAGGACGGACCGAAACGTCGTCGCCCCTTCACCTTCTAGTGTGTGGTCTGGTCAACAAATGTTAACCCTATTTGGCAGAAAGAACTCAGCAGAAAACTACCGTCTGATCAGCTTCACACATCTACAAGCACACGGAGAGAGAAGCCTAAGGGAGGGAATCATTGATCATCTCACAGCGAACAATCTTGTACAGTCAACGCAAGATGGGTTTGTTAAAAATAGATCCTGCCTTACAAACCTGCTCACATTTTTGGAAACGGTGACCAGCTACACAGACAGGACTTCCGATACATGTAGTATATATGGACTTTGCTAAATTTTTCAACAAGGTACCACATAAGAGACTAGCAAGGAAATTACAGACACACGGAATAAATGGTAGAATACCAGAATGGGTAACTACCAAATTAACAGCATTACTTGGCAGCAGCTTGATGAAGACCTGGGGCCAGATTCACGAAAGCACTTACGCAAGCACTTACGAACGTGTACATCTTTCCTCAATATTTGACGGCTTTGGTTACATTTATTAAACAGTTTACAAGCATGAAAACTTGCCAATCAACTGTTGTTATTGTTATAAACAGCCTCCTGGTGCTTCGGAGCTCATTAACTGTTTAATAATTGTAAACAAAGCCGCCAAAGATTGAGAAAAGATGGACAGGTTCGTAAGTGCTTTCGTGAATCTGGCCCCTGGACCTTAGAGTCTGGACCAGAATACGGGGCGGAAGGGAGGGGGGGGGGAAGGGAAGGGAAATTTCGGAGGAAAGCACCAAGCCATTACGGCTATATAGCACTGGGAAGGGGTCAGGATAAGGATTTGGGATGGGACGGGGGGAAGGAATCGTGCCCAACCATTTGGACGGTCGGGAATTGAACGCCGACCTGCATGACGCGAGACCGTCGTTCTACCGTCCAGGCCAAGTGGTTGGGGGAGGTGGAGTGAAAGGGAAAACTGCCACCATCGTTCATATATTTACAAAACAATGAATGGAAGTCTTCTCTTTATTGGCAGTTATTATAATTAATGTTAATTACAGGTAACACCAAGCATGAAGATGCGAAAGTTAATTACAGGTAACACCAAGCATGAAGGTCCGAAAGTTAATTACAGGTAACACCAAGCATGAAGATGCGAAAGTTAATTACAGGTAACACCAAGCATGAAGATGCGAAAGTTAATTACAGGTAACACCAAGCATGAAGGTCCGAAAGTTAATTACAGGTAACACCAAGCATGAAGGTCCGAAAGTTAATTACAGGTAACACCAAGCATGAAGGTCCGAAAGTTAATTACAGGTAACACCAAGCATGAAGGTCCGAAAGTTAATTACCAAGTGTGTGTGTTTAGTCAATAATATTCACTCCTCTTCACTCTACCTTTCACTTTGTATAAGTCAACCTAACATCTTGCAGTCATTTGTTATCAGCTTTAAAGACAATTCAAAATAACTTAGAAATTATTCATTATTATGTATGTTCACGATTCAGTAATATGGATGGACAATTATTTTCCTTTCACTTAACATAATCAATACTGATTCAGAATCAGTCATTGAACACAGACAAATTGTTGGAAAGTTCCAACACCTAATTACTAATCCCTAATACAATCGGATGTATTTCCTGTACTAGGCGTCATAATCATCCAATACTCATTTACTAATCCTTAATACAACAGGATGTATTTCCTGTACTAGGCGTCATAATTAACTAACACTACTAATCAGTAGTTTGTACAAGAACGTAAGAACTCTTGTATTAATAAAAAAAAGAAAGAAAAAATGAAGAACCAAAGGCTAGGTAAGCCCCGCCTACCAGAGACACCCGCGGCTATTTTGCTCCGCCAGGCAAGACGGCTCCTAGCGTAGGCTACTCTATCCCTTGCAGCTGTATTTTAGTGTCTCAATAAACGTACTTGAACTTGAAGCTGACTCGTTTGATGGAAAGACACGGCCATCCGACACCACCTGACCCCTACACAACACCTGAACACTCCTGAGGTGTGACTTTTGATCTGTCAAGGAGCCCACAGCCTCATGCCACAGTTTCCTCTGAACTGACAACTCTTAAAGTGAATTTATTGAATAAAACCAATTATGGTATTACAATGGGGAGGATGGGGCGACGGGTGAGGGGAAGGATGGGGCGACGGGTGAGGGGAGGATGGGGCGACGGGTGAGGGGAAGATGGGGCGACGGATGAGGGAAGGATGGGGCGACGGATGAGGGGAGGATGGGGCGACGGATGAGGGGAAGGATGGGGCGACGGATGAAGGGAAGGATGGGGCGACGGATGAGGGGAAGGCTGGGGCGACGGATGAGGGGAGGAATGGGGCGACGGGTGAGGGGAAGGATGGGGCGACGGATGAGAGGAGGATGGGGCGACGGATGAGGGGAAGAATGGGGCGACGGATGAGGGGAAGGATGGGGCGACGGATGAGGGGAGGATGGGGCGACGGATGAGGGGAAGCTTGGGGCGACGGATGAGGGGAAGGATGGGGCGACGGATGAAGGGAAGGATGGGGCGACGGATGAGGGGAAGGCTGGGGCGACGGATGAAGGGAAGGATGGGGCGACGGATGAGGGGAAGGATGGGGCGACGGATGAAGGGAAGGATGGGGCGACGGATGAGGGGAAGAATTGGGCGACGGATGAGGGGAAGGATGGGGCGACGGATGAGGGGAGGATGGGGCGACGGATGAGGGGAAGAATGGGGCGACGGATGAAGGGAAGGCTGGGGTGACGGATGAGGGGAAGGATGGGGCGACGGAGGATGGGGCGACGGATGAGGGGAAGAATGGGGCGACGGATGAGGGGAAGGATGGGGCGACGGATGAGGGGAAGGATGGGGCGACGGATGAAGGGAAGGATGGGCTGACGGATGAGGGGAAGGATGGGGCGACAGATGAGGGGAGGATGGGGCGACGGATGAGGGGAAGAATGGGGCGACAGATGAAGGGAAGGATGAGGGGAAGGCTGGGGCGACGGATGAGGGGAAGGCTGGGACGACGGGTGAGGAAGGATAAGGCGACGGATGAGGGGAAGGCTGGGACGACGGATGAGGGGAAGGATGGGGCGACGGATGAGGGGAAGGATGGGGCGACGGATGAGGGGAACGATGGGGCGACGGATGAGGGGAAGGATGGGGCGACGGATGAGGGGAACGATGGGGCGACGGATGAAGGGAAGGATGGGGCGACGGATGAGGGGAACGATGGGGCGACGGGTGAGGAAGGATGGGGCGACGGATGAGGGGAAGGATGGGGCGACGGATGAGGGGAAGGATGGGGCGACGGATGAGGGGAACGATGGGGCGACGGATGAAGGGAAGGATGGGGCGACGGGTGAGGAGAAGACTGGGGCAACGGATGAGGGGAAGACTGGGGCGACAGGTGAGGGGAAGACTGGGGCGACGGATGAGGGGAAGACTGGGGCGATGGGTGAGGGGAAGACTGGGGCGACAGGTGAGGGGAAGACTGGGGCGACAGGTGAGGGGAAGACTGGGGCGACAGGTGAGGGGAAGACTGGGGCGACGGGTGAGGGGAAGACTGGGGCGACGGGTGAGGGGAAGACTGGGGCGACGGGTGAGGGGAAGACTGGGGCGATGGGTGAGGGGAAGACTGGGGCGACAGGTGAGGGGAAGACTGGGGCGACAGGTGAGGGGAAGTCTGGGGCGATGGGTGAGGGGAAGACTGGGGCGACAGGTGAGGGGAAGACTGGGGCGATGGGTGAGGGGAAGACTGGGGCGACAGGTGAGGGGAAGACTGGGGCGACGGGTGAGGGGAAGACTGGGGCGATGGGTGAGGGGAAGGATGGGGCGACAGGTGAGGGGAAGACTGGGGCGAGGGGTGAGGGGAAGACTGGGGCGACAGGTGAGGGGAAGACTGGGGCGTCGGGTGAGGGGAAGACTGGGGCGACGGGTGAGGGGAAGACTGGGGCGATGGGTGAGGGGAAGGATGGGGCGACAGGTGAGGGGAAGACTGGGGCGATGGGTGAGGGGAAGACTGGGGCGACAGGTGAGGGGAAAACTGGGGCGACG